TAGTAACAAGTGCCTTACTAGTAGTAACAAGAAGCTACTAGAAACAAGTGCATCGCTTCTAGTAACAAGTGCCTTACTAGTAGTAACAAGAAGCTATTAGGAAGCAGGTCTTTTCCTTTCCCCTTTAGACATTTCATGATGTCTTCGTCTTCGTGCAGGGCTTCTTGAGTCACAACTCTGCGCAACTCCTCTACGAACACCTGGGTGGCGCAGCGGTGAGCATCGTTCGCATCCGGGCCAAGCGTCCACGCTGTACACAGGAGATCCAGTGAGCCCGAGAGAGAGAGAGGAGAGAGAGAGAGAGAGAGAGAAGAGAGAAGAGAGAGAGCAGAGAGCAGAGAAACGAGTGAGAATTGGTCCTAGTAGCTTTATTGTTCCTAGTAGTAAGGCCAGTAGCCCCTAATAGCATCCTTGCTCCTAGTAGCGATCGCTAGCAGGTTGGAGGCCATCGCTTTAGACCTTTTAGACTTGTCTTTCTTCCTTTCTTTGGTTGAAGAAAGCATTCTTGTGTACGGGTTAAGGCCTAGCATAAGCCTTTACAGATTAGTCGCACACTAACGACCAATTCCGGATTTTTGCAACGAGTTGTAATGAAACATAGTAAAAAAACACAAAATTGACAAAAAAGAAAACTAAGATAACAAAATTACTAGGAGCAAGGACGCTACTAGGGGCTCCTGGCCTTACTACTAGGAGCGATCGGACGCTACTAGGAGCTTTTTCGCACTTGATGAATTGAGGTACAACCTGACCTCTGACCACGACCCTGACTGGGTGCAACGGCAGCTGAACATCGCCGCTCCCAAATTGCGCTCTCAATTCGCTTTGAAGGCGCAAAGGAGACGAAGTCGGACGAAGACTTTGTTCAAGCCCACTCTGCCCTGGGTTTGAGCCCTCTCCCCTCCTCACTACTTACTTAAGTAAGGAATTGAGCTAGCTAGTGGCAGAAGTAGCTACTACTATAGGACGCAGGATAGCTCACGCTTCTTCAAGGAAACTCCTCCCACCACCCTAAAGGTGGCGGGGGGGGAGCTTCCTTGAAGAAGCGCTTGCACTAATGATTTGGTTCCCAGATTTTTAGGGAAACTTAACGAAAAGTAGCAAGAAGTCGGTCAGGTCAACATGGGACAGACGCCCAACATCAAGTTCGTGCCCTACTCTGAGAGCCAGGACAAAGCCCGAAATCGTAACGGTTGGCTGGGTTGGCCTTTCGAACAAAATAGAAAATGGCCTCCACCCGAATAGAGAGAAACACGAGAGAAAAGGCCCAACCGTGTTCTCCCAACGGCTTCGCGAGGAAGTCAAGCGCCGCTACCTCTGGCGTTTTGCGAAGGCGATCAAGGAGCAATAGCCAAAGTAACTGAAAATTCACATGACAGCGTTCCACAACTGAGATCAAACTCTCTTTGATGGACGTTAGCAGTTGCACAGGCCGAAACTAGACATCTGAAACCTGAACGTTTGGGCAAAATCTGAAGTTTTTGCTATGTTCCTGTCTAGAAGACTACCTGTGCCTCGGGCTCATTTTCAAGAAGCTACTAGTAGTAAGGCACCTTGCTACTAGTAGCGTCCTTGCTACTATTGTTCCTGACGCTTCGCGTCGACCGCCGCCCACGCCTTTTTTTTTCGGTCGTCTGGGGAAAGAGTGGACAGGGGAGGTCGGGAGTGGTGTCCAAAGAGATGGCTTGTTTGCCGCAGCGTCTATGGCCATGTTGCGGCTGAGTTACGCACAAGTTCGCTCGTTTGGTGGCCATGTTAAAGCCAATTCAGGCTCCAAGTTCGACCGTTTTGTGGCCTTGCCCCCGCTTGGTTAGTCCACATTACATCATGTCAAGGCTAGCTTGATCGTTTGGTGACCCTGTGTTGAGGCTACGCTGAGTTTTTTTGCAATAATGCTGGTTATGCGTTGCTGGTCAGGATGGTTTTTCAGCATCGTGGGTGTCCGTTTTTGGCTTGTTTGGGCTCTTGCAGAAATAGTCCAAAAATGTGCCTCCAACAATGCTGGTTATGCATTGCTGGTCAGGATGGGTTTTTCAGCATCGTGGGTGTCCTTTTTTTTTGGCTTGTTTGGGTTCTTGCAGACATAGTCCAAAAATGTACCTCCAAAACGCTCTCCCCCGTGGCCCTCGAGGCGTAAGACGTTTTTCCCCGAAACAAAAAAAGGCACCCCCCTAGCAGAGCTATGAACTGATTACGATGTGATGATTGACTGACGATGATTCCAGCTTGACCCGCCCCTAACACGCCCTGCACCGCAAGCGGTGTGGGCGGATTTTTGTGATGTGCAGCCAGGCGTGGGTTGGGGGGAATGAAGTTCCTCTTCGCTACAGCGACGGTGTTTGAGTTTCTACGCGCAATGTGCGGACGTTCACTCTTCAGGAAGCTACTAGGGGCTCCTGGCATCGCTACTAGGAGCAAGGAAGCAAAAGGAGACTTCGAATCTAGGAGTCAGAAAACGACGGTCTCCCCTGCAAATGGTCGCCACGGTCTCCCGACTCTACTGTCAACGCATTGGCCAGTCTTTCTTCAGGCGGCACGCCAGCATGCGGTCTATTGTTGTGGTGTTTTTTGATGTGTAAAAGACTTCGTGGACTTCAGAAGACTGCTGGTGTATTTTGTTATTGCTCTCTGCTGCGTGACGTCTCGACTTTCTGAACATGCCGTTTACAGTGCCATTCCAACTTGGTAGCACTTTGCGTCAGAAGCCTGGAGCTGGCATGGGACTCTGGCATGGCACACGGGAAAACGATTGCTTCACACGGCAAAGAGCATGTTTTTTCATTTACGGACTGACACGTAGCTGCTAGTAACGGCTCCTGGCCTTACTACTAGGAGCAAGGACGCTACTAGGGGGTTGTGGCATCGCTACTAGGAGCATTCATACTACTAGTAACAAGAAGCTACACTTGCCGCAGCTTTGTCGATCGCAAAAAACCACATCCACTCGCCTTCATCCCCACTCCGCAGGATGTTTGAATGTCAGAAACACTGTGACCCTGTGACCTCCCATGAGAAAGCATGTTCACAAACATTCAAGTCTGATTTATCCGACGCATCTTCAACGGCCTCCACTTGTATATTAATCATACATATTATCTATGCGATCTGCAAAACCAACCCCCGCATGCGCCTGCTCGCCAGTGAGAAGAAAAGCCAGTGCAGCCCAGAACCTACTAGCGATGGCCTTCAACCTAGAAGCAATGGCCTCCAACCTAATTAGTAGCGATGGCCTCCACCCTAGTAGCGATGGCCTCCAACTTACTAGCGATGGCCTCTAACCTGCTAGCGATGGCCTCCAACCTACTAGCGATGGCCTCCAACCTAGAAGCGATGGCCTCCAACCTACTAGCGAAAGCCTCCAACTTAGTAGTGATGGCCTCCAGAAGCAACTGCACTTCGTACCACATTGCTTTTGGCTTTGATGCTTTTGCTGTTTGGTGCATACCTGGTGCAGTCCAGAGGGTAGCTCGAAACGTTCATGGCCAGGACGGCATCCCTGCAGGTGGTTTTGGGACAAAGTTGCCTGCCACCGAAGCCATTTCAAGACTTCGAAGTGCCGTGACCAGTCGCAGATGAAAAGAGAAGTGGTCGAAGCATGTCCAAGTTTCAAAGCATGTGGTTTTCGAGGAAATCATTGTGCAGCTTTTGAAAGGATTGCTCAGCGAGGTTTTGTAGCCAATTCCCTTCCATCCAGCATCTCTTTTGCAGAGCTTCGGTTTAGCTGTTTTGTTTCAAGCTTCGATTGGACACTTTGAAGCACTTTGCAAATTTGCCGGATCTTGGGCAAGTCTTCCGGCCACAGAATGATCAAATTTGCTGGACAAACACGATTGCGTCACCATGAAGCTTCAAACACGCGATAATGCTTATTGACCAAACTGCTCAACTTTTCGACCGCAGCTTGGTTTGGGAAGACTAGGGCAACCTGTACTAGGTTCCGACACCCGTGATGATTCTGTCACGCTCTTTGTGCCTCAGCCTCTGCTGGGAGACCAAGCGTGTTGGACTGTCGGAATCTGTCGGCAGAAGGCACACATGTGATGTTTGTTTGAGAGGCTTGAGAGCGTTTGTTCAAGAACTCTTCAGTATCTCAAGCAAGAAAGCCTAGTAGGTTGGAGGCCATCGCTACTAGGGTTGAGGCAATCGCCAGTAGGTTGGGGGCCATCGCTACTAGGGTGGAGGCCATCGCCAGTAGGTTGGAGGCCATCGCCACTAGGGTGGAGGCCATCGCCAATAGGTTGGAGGCCATCGCTACTATAGGTTGGAGGCCATCGCTACTGGGGTGGTCATCGCTAGTTGGAGGCCATCGCTACTAGGGTGGAGGCCATCCCTAGTAGGTTGGAGGCCATCGCTACTAGGGTGGAGGCCATCGCTAGCAGGTTGGAGGCCATAGGTTGGAGGCCATCGCTACTAGGGTGCAGGCCATCGCTAGGAGGTTGGAGGCCATCGCTACTAGGGTGGATGCCATCGCTACTGGGGT